CTAATCTTAAATGACTGTTCAGTACAGAAATGAATCCCAACAATCATGTTTTACAGTCCTGTGGTCTCAGACTCAGATACTCAACTAATCAAAGTGATGTCATGACAAAAATGAACAAACAAAAAAAACATTTTTTCTCCTTCATTTCTGTCACACAAAGCTGTATGTAACGTTTCTCACGGTTAGTAACATGGTTGCTAGGCAACCTGAATAGCGCGACGTAGGCTAGACCGTCCCATTTCACAAGCCTCTCGCTTCTGCACTTCTCGTACTTGTAGTACGCACCGTACGTAGTGTGCGTACTTCAAGCGTGCAGACCCTGAATTGGGACACAGCTATAGCGCTCCGCGCCTGGGTCCTCCTTTTCCCCCATACCCCCACGGTCTGCCAGCCAGACCATGACACATAAAGACCTGGATGACCGCTAATATTCTGCTTCTTAATTCAGATAAAACTGAGGTTATTTTACTCGGCCCTGAAAATCTTAGAAATATGCTATCTAACCAGATTCTTACTGTGGATGGCATTACTCTGACCTCCAGTAACACTGTGAGGAACTTTGGAGTAATTTTTGACCAAGACATATCCATTAAACAAATATTTAAGACTGCTGTCTTCCATTTGCACAACATCTCTAAAATTAGAAATATCCACTCTCAGAGTGAGGCTAAAAGACCAGTTAGACTACTGCAATTCTTTGTTATCAGGATGTCCTAAAAACTCCCTAAAAAGCCAGCAATACACCCACTGCATTTAAAGTCAATTGGATGAGGAGTTGTCAACGAGCAAAGAACAGAAAAACAGATTTACAGAACATGAAAGAATTCTCAAACATATCAGATAAAATATCTGTACTTGTGGTGGTAGATGTCTGGGTCTCGGCTGATGCGGTTCTGGAAGCCAATGTACAGGTCATCCCATAGACAGCCATGAAGCACCACGTACCTCATCACTCCAATCCTGTTTTTAATCTAAAAGGAAACCAAGAAGGGTTACTGCTCTGTGCAAGTAAATATGTTCTTGAAATATTTTGCGAATTCCTCAAACTACGATTCTTTTACATCTTGTACAAGCACTTAATACATTAACCCTTTAAGATCTACCAGAGGACCAAGTTTGCCAGAGCTTATATTCTATTTTTACATGCTGTAGTACCATTTTTAGGAGCATTTCAAGTTGCAATACATCAATACAACCATTATAGCCCAATGTTTAATAATGTGTATGCATTAAGTGCATAGTAATTACATAAACTGCAAAAAAGTGCAATAAACTACAAAATTTAACATATATTTCTAGTTAGAGAAATTTAAGAGGCGTAACCCTCAAAACTGTAAATACAAAAGAGTTGCACAAAATAGTTTCCCACCACAGGAAATTTATTTTGAGTGCCTTCATAGTTTTATTTTTGAAATGCACCAATTTTTATATACTGCAGGAAAAACGAAAATGAATATTATAATGCAAATTTGCAAAAAAGAAGCATATGCATCAAAATAAACTATTTCCAGCAGTGCAATTAGAGTTCTAAGCATCCCAGAAATGATACAGAAAGTCATAAAGTCAAACATGACATGAAAAAACACCAGTATAGGCTTATAAGGCCCTGAAGGTAATTTCCGCGAAAATGACGTCACTTCCGATTTCGGGCAAGTAATGGCGGACATAGCGCATAGTTCGCGCTGATGTCTATTCCAACGTAGGAAGTGATATGAACAGCTGATTGGATCGGCAAAGCGTGTTTCTGGAATATTATGTTTTTGTTGCTGCAAGTGCTTTTTATGCAATTTTTGCAAAGTTATATGTGGAAGGAAACCGTGACCTAGGACACGCTGATGGCATTAGATGTAAGTACAACTCCTCCGGTTTCATATCCAAAAAAAAAATATTGCGCTAGCTTACGTGGCTGCATTTCTACAGGGGTTTAAAAATAGTTACGCAAAACGGAGCGCGCACACTCCGACTGGAGCATTAATGGTTAAAAGTAAATAATGCTACTTGCAGGGCCATAATCACAAAAATTAGCCTGTCCAGCAGTTCCAGTTTCCTCAGAACAGAGCCAGATTAAATATTCCTGTGCACCAGAAAAATTCTGATTGCTCCATGGTCCAGGAAATGCAAGTGTAGCAATATGTCACTAGAGTTGTAACAGAGTTGAAAAATCACCTCTGTTAAGGTGGCTATATAATGCAGCTGCATTATTATATAATCCACCCACTGTACCAAAATAAACCAGAGCAGCTACCTGAACGCTACTCCAACAGAAGTCGATTATCTTTTTAATAATTTTACCTCTATCTCTATTGAGCCAACCATCCCTTTAACAATAACTAGTAATGACTTCATGAACTTCTTCACAAATAAAATTTTAACCATTAGAGTAAAATTATCTACAGCTACTTTAATTACCATTGATATTCACTTACTCTTTTTCTCCAATTGATCTTTCTGAGTTAACTTCAGTAATTACTTCCTCCAAACCATCAGCTTGTCTTTTAGACCCCATTCCTACAAGACTGCTCAAAGAAGTCCTGCCATTAATTAATGTTTCAATCTTAAATATGATCTACCCTATCTCTAATAATCGGCTATGTACCACAGACCTTCAAGCTAACAGTTGTTAAAAAGTTGCTTAAAAAGCATCTCTTGACCCAGTGGCCTTAGCTAATATTGGCCAATCTCCAACCTTCCTCTCATAACAAAAATCCTTGAAAGAATAGTTCTCAAACAGCTAACAGATCATCTGCAGAGAATGACTTATTTGAAGAGTTTCAGTCAGGTTTCAGAGCTCATCACAGCACAGAAACAGCTTTAAAATGGTAAATGGCCTGTATTTGTATAGCGCTTTACTAGTCCCTAAGGACTCCAATGCGCTTTACACATCCAGTCATCCACACACACATTCATACACTGGTATGGCAAGCTACATTGTAGCCACAGCCACCCTGGTGCACACTGACAGAGGCGAGGCTGCCAGACACTGGCGCCACCGGGCCCTCTGACCACCACCAGTAGGCAACGGGTGAAGTGTCTTGCACAACGACACAACAACCGAGACTGTCCAAGCTGGGGCTCGAACCGGAAACCTTCCGATGACAAGGCGACCTCCCAACTCTTGAGCCACAACTGCCCCACGATCCCTTTAGTAAAGGCTACAGATTATCTTCTTATGGCCTCTGACAGTGGACTCATCTCTCTGCTTGTCCTGCTACACCTTAGTGCAGCATTCGTTACTGTTGACTATAATATCCTATTAGAGCGATTAGAACATGCTGTAGGTATTACAGGTACTGCGCTGCAGTCGTTTGTATCATATCTATCTAACAGACTCCAATTTGTGCATGTAAATGGAGCGTCCTCTTCACACACTAAGGTCAATTATAGTGTTCCACAGGGTTCAGTGCTAGGACCAATTCTGTTTACATTATCCATGCTTCCCTTAGTCAGTATCATCAGAAGACATAGCAAGGCAAGGCAAGGCAAGGCAAGTTTATTTGTATAGCACAATTCAACAACAAGGTGATTCAAAGTGCTAGCATACATTTTCACTGCTATACAGATGACACACAACTCTATCTGTCCATGAAGCAAGATGACACACACCAATTAGTTAAACTGTGGGAATATCTTAAAGTCATAAAGACCTGGATGACCGCTAACGTTCTGCTTCTTAATTCAGATAAAACTGAGGTTATTTTACTCGACCCTGAAAACCTTAGATATATGGTATCTAAGCAGATTCTTACTCTTTATGGCATTACCTTGGCCTCTAGTAACACTGTGAGGAAACTTGGAGTATTTTTTGACAAAGACATCTACATCTAACTATAGTCACTGTATTCTGGTCTTAATTAATTCACCACACTACTCATTATTATTGTCCAAACACTTCACATTCCACATGATTATTACTCAAACAGCTTCTGCACTGAATCTCCATTGCTTCCCCAGGGTTACTGCTCTCACTCTGAGGCACCTGGAAAGTGGCCGTTGACTTTGAGGAGCTGGATGTAGACAAGCAGGCCGTGCTAGAACTGGACACTGATGCGGAGGAGCAGGCTGTGCTGGAACTGGACACGGATGTGGACATGCTGGACATGCATTGAGTTTTTCCTTTCCAGTCACCTTTCTCACTCACTATGTGTTAACAGACCTCTCTGTATTGAATCGTATCTGTTATTAATCTCTGTCTCTCTTCCACAGCATGTCTTTTATCCTGTCTTCCTTCTCTCACCCCAACCGGTCGCAGCAGATGGCCGCCCCTCCCTGAGCCTGGTTCTGCCGGAGGTTTCTTCCTGTTAAAAGGGAGTTTTTCCTTCCCACTGTCGCCAAAGTGCTTGCTCATAGGGGGTCATATGATTGTTGGGTTTTTCTCTGTATCTATGAAGCGCCTTGAGGCGACTTTTGTTGTGATTTGGCGCTATATAAATAAAATTGAATTGAATTGAATTGAAATTGAATTGAATTGAATGGCCGTGGTGTGGCAGCTGCAGGACCAGACAAGGCAGGACCAGATGAGGGAAGGACCAAACGATTTTGTGGCAACCCCTAGTGGCTGAATGGCCAGTGACATGGCTGCTGCAGATGATGGATCTGGTGGCACTGCTCGTGGCACTGATGGTTGGACAGGCTCCTCGGAGCCTCCGACGGAGACAGATGGCTGAAGGGACCCCTTGGGATGTCCAGCAGGAACAGAGGATGGCTGAAACTACCCCTCGGGACCTCCAGTGGGAAGAAAGGACAGCTGAAGCGGCTCCTCGGACCCTCCAGTGGAGAAAGACAGCTGAAACAGGCCCCTCGGACCCTCCAGCGGAGACAGAAGGCAGAACGGGCCCCTTGGACCCTCCAGCGGAGACAGAAGACAGCTGAATGGGCCCCTCGGACCCTCTAGCAGGGACAGACGCAGGGCCAGCAGGTCTAGAGACCTCTGGCGGTGACGAGACAGAACCACAAGGCCCAAAAACCTCTAGCAGAGACAAAACAGAACCAGCAGTTTTCTGGCAGGAATGAAGTTAACTGTAACTGCACAGGGAACAAAGCTGGCTCGGAATGCAACGGCTGGGTCTGTGCAGTGCAGGCGGTCTGTCTTGGCAGGGCCAGCAAGACGAAGTCCTTAGCTGGTTGAACAAGCTCTACAGAGCTTCCAGCAGAGGATGGAGGTGGCTGGGTTGACAGTTGAGCCAATGACTGAATTGCAGACAACTGAGCAGGTGGCTGAACAGCAGACAACTGAAGAGCAGACGGCTGAACAGCAGGTAACTGAACTGACGGCTGAACAGCAGGTTACAGAGCAGGTAACTGAGCTGCACATTGAACAGAAGACTGAGCTGAAGACTGAACAGCAGACGACTGAACTGCAGGAGACTGAACAGCAGACGGATGAACTGCAGGCATGGAAGGCAGTGAGCGGACAAAGTCTGCTAGTTCTCAACCTTGTAGCATGTCCAAGACCCTGTGCAGCTCTTTAACCAGGCCCATTACTTCTGGGCGCTGGTGAAAATGAGGGTTCCCTTCTATAATCGCCTTGATGGCGTTTATCCCTACCACGCTTGCCTTGATATCTGAGGTGTGGGAAATTCAGATCATCAGGTCTTGGATGCGGGCCAGGTCGCACTCCTGGGATAACCCGTTGGGTCCATGTAATGATCGCATTGTTCTGTGTAGCAGGCAGGATTGGACCCAAATGCAGGACTCTCAAAGATGGGACTTAAACTCAAAACACAGCTTTTATTGCTGGAAAAACTTTTGATGAAATTAAACACTTACAAAAACAAACCAAAACCTGAAATGTAAAACGTGAAACTAAACACCAGGAATGTAACAGGACTACAAGACAAACACACAGCATCAAGGGGGTGTACAACGTGACACTGACAAAGAGAAACAGACAGCTTAAATAGACTGTGGAGCAATCAGGGAAATGGAAAACAGGAGAGAGACACAATTAGACATAACGAGACAAGGAGAAGCAAAATTAAACACACTGCACAAGGACAAGGACTATCAAAATAAAACAAGTAGTGCATGACAGACACAGACTTGACATTGAACAAAAAGGACACAGGAACAAAATCGAAGAACTAGAAATCACAGAACACAGCACTAAATTACTAGAAATACTGTGACAGAAACCAAAAGACTAATACAGATAACAATGATGAAATCAAAGATCAAAAATAGAACAAAACTCAACACACTGGGTCACCAACCCAGGACTGTGACACCTT